AATTTATCACTAGAGACAGACATTGCTTGTTCTTCCAAGCCCCTAAAAATATATCCTCACATTTTGTGCAAAACAGAATATTTAAGGATATAATTACAGTTGTGTACAGTTTGTTGGTTTAAAGAGAAATCTGATTGCTATTATAGGGGTAAGAGGGGGTTCTTTATTTCTCTTTTGATGTATTTTCTTTTGCTTTCTTTCCTTCTTATGTTTCAACCACCTAAAAGGATGTGTCTTAAAGGTTGAACTCAATGGACTTGAGTCTATTTTCAATGACTTGTTAATGGCAATGACTGCTAACCTTGGATCCATTAAGTTTAGTGATGTCCCGAACGGTTCGCGAATGGTTCGCCACGAACGGTTCGCCACGGACTCATCATTGAGTAAACTTTGACCCTGTACCTCACAGTCAGCAGACACATTCCAGCCAATCAGCAGCAGACCCTCCCTCCCAGACCCTCCCACTTCCTGGACAGCTCACTAAGAATGCAGATTCACAATGAATGTAAAATAGATGCTGTCCAGGAGGTGGGAGGGTCTGGGAGGGAGGGTCTGCTGCTGATTGGCTGGAATGTGTCTGCTGACTGTGAGGTACAGGGTCAAAGTTTACTCAACGATGACTCCGTGGTGAACCGTTTGGGACATCACTAATTAAGTTATGCTCCCTGTGTAAAATAAAGACAATAAAAGGCTGCGCACGTAAAATAGAGTCCAATAAAAGGGAAGAAGAGAAAAAAAAGGTCCAACTGGTATATTCTTACAGGTGTCCTTGATTGGTGGGATCTTCTATTTATGTGGTGATTTCACTCGTTTATGAAAAATAAAAAGAGGGAAAAAGGGACATCCAATGGTGTAGTATGTAAAATACAGGTATAGACGTAAAAATAATAGTATAAAACTCACATTTACCAGAGCTAATGTCCAGCTCTGGAGTAAGGCGCGTACAGCGGTTTAATCCCCGCTTGTGGGATATAAAGCAGGTTCCTCACCGTGAATGGTATCCAATTCTCGGGATAAAACAAACAGCCAATAGTGCTCACTGTATAGCAAATAATAATAAAATAATAAAAGAAATGTACTTACAAAGAAAGAGCAGACCCACTGCTCTTTTGTGATGGCTTGGGTGGATTGATCCCCACCTACGGATTTCTTTGGGTACAGGAAACTTCCAGGAATTTTTTTAGGTTTTTTTTTAAAACCATTAAAAATAATTAAAATGATAGTAAAAAGGCCAGGGTAAAATGAAGGATATGTGTCTATAAAAAAGATAATTGGCACAAGCAAATGACCAAAAATACTTTAATATATATAAAAAACACAATATTCAAATGTCCATAACGCGTTTCGTCACAAAAGGGACTTTATCAAATGGATTAACATGATTTACCTGGCACATAGAGATTATATAGGAGCATAATTGATTGAATTTTGGCGCCAAAACTTGGTTCATCCAATCAAAATTAAAAGCAAATTTACAACTTTAAAATACAGAAGTAACTCTTTAGACGCATAATTAGTAGTTATACAACTTAATTAGTTTATGTTTAAATGTAAAACGAGAATGAGAAAGTATAGTTAAAGCTATTTGAAATGGTCACGTGACCGGCGGCACTTCCGGGTTTCGGAAGTGCCGCCGCTAAGCCGCATGGGAAATGTAGTTGAATGCGGCAACCGTTTTGAAAATCATTCTAACGCAATTTACAGGTTCCCTGATTTAGTATAGTGTAGTGGCAAGTAGTGGGAACATAAAACGAAGGGGCTACCCATAAAAAAAACGCACTTAATAGGCGGTCACGTGATTTTCGGTAATAATAGCCGAAATGGATTATGGGAATGGTAGTTCAAATATAACATGTAGGGATACATCAAATAGTAAAACATAACATGATACTTGTCCATTTGATTAAAAGGGACTGATAAAAATTTAAATTAGGAGCATAAAATAAAGCAGATTAACATTATGTATGAAAATAAAAAGACACTTAAAATTTAAAGGAGCAGATTAAATACAAAGAAATATAAAAGAATGTTATTTAAAAACCATAATTAAAGGTACAAACATAAAAGTTCATAAAAAATTATGTAAATCGAAATCTGCATTAAGACCATGGGGTATAAGAGTCTGAAGTTTATACACCCATTCCATCTCTGTTTTTCCAAGTAACTTTTTTATATCACCTCCTCTCCAAGAGGTAGAACATTTTTTTATACCAATACACTTTAATAAACTAGGATCTTTATTGTGCATAATAAAATGTTTGGATACTGTATGATTTAAGTATCCATTTTTAATATTTCTGCAGTGTTCGCTTAATCTTATCTTTAGGCACCTTGTGGTCATCCCCACATATTGGAGGCCACATGGGCATTCAAGCAGATAGATAACATTTTTTGTATGGCAGCTTATAAAGTCATAAATATCATACACTTTTTTAGTTTGGTTTGACATAAATTTTGTAGTTTTAGATGAAAGAACATGATCCACAGTTTTGCATACAATGCATTGTTTGCATCTAAAAAAACCTTTTGTCTGAGGGAAAAATGATACGTTTTTTAAAGGAGATTTTTTTGTGAAATTAGTAGTTAAAATTGATTTAAAATTAGGTGCTCCTCTAAAAACAATGTTTGGATGAGTAGGTATGATAGAATTGAGTATCTCATCGTGTTTAAGTAAGTGCCAGTGTTTTCTTATTATTTTTTTGACATCGTTGCTTTTATTATTAAAATTAAAAATAACTGGAAGTGATATGGTTTCATTATTTTCTTTATTTTTATATATCAAAAGATCTCTTCTTTCTTTTTGTTTGACTGTATTAATTGTGATATTCAGATCTGGTTCTGAGTAATTTTTTTCAATAAATTTATTTTTTTAAAACTCTGCTTGTATATTAAAATCTGTGAGTTCTGAACAATTTCTGCGAAGGCGTAAAAACTGACTTTTCGGGGCACTTTCTAACCACGGCTTATAGTGACAGCTAGACCTGTCAATGGCTGTGTTAACACATACTTTTTTAAAATAAGTTTTTGTTTGGAGTTGCCCATTATTAATAAAAATATTTAAATCTAAAAAATTAATAGATTGTTTGCTGAATTCGTATGTAAGAATGATGCCCTTATTATTATTATTTAAATAATTAATAAAATCAATAAGATGTTTTTCAGGTCCATCCCAAATAAAAAAAAGGTCATCTATATATCTAAAATAGGAGACTAGGTTTGCCCGCCACACATGATTGCCCCATATGGCTTCGTTTTCCCAGTCAGCCATAAACAAATTGGCATAACTAGGGGCAAACCTAGTCCCCATAGCAGTGCCTCTTCTTTGTAAATAAAAAGAGTCTAAAAACCAGAAATAGTTATTTTTTAAAATAATGTTAATACCTTCTATTATAAAATCTATTTGAATATCGGGGATCCTAGCTTCTTGAGTTAAAATTTCTTTAACCCCTTAAAACCGGAGGACGTACAATTACGCCCTCTAATAGGCGGCTCTAAACGCCGCCGGGCGTAATTGTACGCCCTCCAGTTTTTGTTAACTTACCCGGTCGCCGGCGGTCCCACGCCGGCGATCGCGGTTGGGGGGACTCCCAGGGAGCCCCCCGCGGCACGACCGTCCTCCAGGAAGCCCCCCGGCCGTGTGAGAGTGGGGTCCTAGCGAGGACCCCACAATCACATGGCCGGGTATAGCTGGCTTCTGTATTGCCAGCAGGGGGGCTGCCTGTAATGACAGGTGGTCCCCCTGCTGGCTGAAAATAAAATAAAAATAAGTTAATGGTGTAAAAAAAAAAAATTATATATACTTAGATCATATATATATTATATATGATCTAAGTATATATATACACATATACATACACACACATACACCGTCTAGGTGTATTTTACTATTAATATATATATAATTATATATATATATTAATATCAAATTACACGTAGACTGATACTGATTAAATATATATATAATTATTGTTATATATATATTTATATATAATATAAAAAAAATAAAAATATAAATACGTTAAAAATAAAATTAAAAAATAATTAAAAATAAATAATTAAAAAAATATATAGATGTGTGTTATTTCGTTCTAACTGTTTTGTGAAATTAATATATATATATATATATATATCAAAATACATTAGAAACGAAATAATATATATATCTATATACATAAATATATATATATATATCACTATATATATACCTATATACTGTACTTAAAAATTATATATAGATATACATACATGTATATATATACATATATTATTCTACATATATATTTATACTTGTGGCACATAGTGAGTATCATAGTATTAGTACAATTACTTAGGACCTGCCTGACAACCCAGCATGCAGAAAGTAAGAAATTTTAATTTACTTTAGCACTATATTTAACCCTACTTTCCAAGACACTATAAAACCTGTACATGGGGGGTACTGTTCTACTCGGGAGACTTCGCTGAACACAAATATTAGTGTTTCAAAACAGTAAAATGTATTACAACGATGACATCGCCAGTAAAAGTGACGTTTTTTGCATTTTCACGCACAAACAGCACTTACACGGACGATATTATTGCTGCGATACTTTTTACTGTTTTGAAACACAAATATTTGTGTTCAACGAAGTCTCCCGAGTACAACAGTACCCCTCATGTACAGGTTTTATGGTGTTTTCAAAAGTTACAGCGTCAAATATAAGGCTTGCGTTACAGTTTTTTCACATTAAAATTCGCCAGATTGGTTACGTTGCCTTTGAGACCCTATGGTAGCCCAAGAATGAAAATTACCCCTATGATGGCATACCATTTTGCAATAGTAGACAACCCAAGGTATTGCAAA